AATGCTATAGCTCCCCACCCCTTTGGATTTTTGACTTGAGAATAGCGGTGCAGGCTCTAGATCGCATGCACTAACCAGCCATGCAAAAAACAAGGGCTTAGGGCATGCTGAGTAGCTGGAAAAATAAAAGAAGTGCATGTGCTTTCATGGGGAAACGCTCAAACATGCATACTTGGGGCAAATGTTGAAATGCTATAGCTCCCCACCCTTTGGATTTTCGACTTGAGAATTACGGTGCAGGCTCTAGATCACATGCAAAGCCATGCAAAAAACAAGGGCTTAGGGCATGCTGAGTAGCTGGGAAAAATAAAAGAAGAGCATGTGCTTTCATGGGGAAACGCTCAAACATTCATACTTGGGGCAAATGTTGAAATGCTATAGCTCCCCACTGTTGGCCAGCGCTCCACGGTTAGATGTGTGTGGGTAGCGCACCATTACCCCCCAACGGCTGTAGCCCTCCCACACTCAACTAGGACGATCCCATGCCCCCAACATCTCCCCTCACTGGGTCGCAGGGCACCTGCGCCTCCCTGCGCACACTGGATTCGAACCCTGGACCTTCCAGGCTCTGATACCACTTGTTAGGATTAAGGACAGAGTCTAGGTGAACTTAGGAGCTAGAATTACTCAAAATATAAATCCGAAATTCTGGACAGAAAAGTCGTCTTCACAAGAAACGACGTCGACAAAACACTAGCCGTTGGAATGTCGCGAAACTTGGATATGTTGTAGCTCTTGATCTCAGCTACCGTTCCCAATTTGAATCACGTTGATTGATGAAGTATTCGCGACGCTATGGCTTTCGACGCACTAGGGGGTAAGCTGTAGGAGGAGAACTTAACTCAATCTCAAGAGTTCAATCAAAGTTCAAGAATCTCACAAGGAATTAGAAGGAGCAAGAGAAAGGTTGGGATAGGAAGAGAGGGATGAGAGGGAAGGTCCCAAGAGAGTCCCCAACCAAGGAAACCCCATAAGCACAAAGATTCCCTCCCTATAGGAACCCCAACTTTGACATTTGTCCCTTCCCAACCAATCCATCCAAGTTGGCCACCCTTGCCAACCTAGCTTGGTTGTTCCCAACCAATTTGCAGCTGTTACAGTGAGTGACAAATTTCCCAAACCCCAAAGGTCCCAACTCCATATAGAGTCACCCCACAACTTCACTTTGTAACCGCCGCAATTGTAACGCAAGCTCATGAACTTTGAATCTTCATAGCTTTCGCGTTCTTGCTCCGATTGAAGGGATTCTCGTTGCGTCGGAAAGATCTTCTCAAGATCTATCATCACAAAAAACCTGCTCAAACAAAATAACACAAAACACATTCCCAAACTCCAGAACACATCACACACAAATTCTTGCACACGTTCAAACCACACATGCAAGTTGAAAAAATATGGGATGGGAGGCAGACAGAATGTGATAGCATATGATGACATCACACAACAATCTCCCCCTCTGGCTGCCAACCATCATCCACCATACCAACATCTCAAGCATGCATACTCAATGCACACTCATCCCAGCAAGCTTCATGCCCTTCCAATGATCCGCCTCCGCCAGACGCTTGGTGAAAATATCTGCTGCCTGCTGATGGGTCTTCACTATCTCCAGCCGCACCTCCTTATCAAGGAGTCTCCTCACCCAATGCCACTTAGGCCTTATGTGTTTTGTCAGCCCATGCAGACAAGCATTCTTGGCGAGCTTCACAGCGGACTCATTGTCACAAAACACAACTGTCGGCTTCTCCTGACCAACTCCCAACTCCTCCAACAAACGCCTTAGCCACACTACTTCCTTGGCCCCATGGTGTAAGGCCATGTACTCAGTCTCACATGAGGACAATCCCACCTCATTCTGCTTCTTGCTGCGCCAGCTCACAGCACCACCTCCTAGCAAGCACACATAACCCCCAATGCTGGTGCCATCCGCTTTCACTGAGTTGAAGCTAGCGTCAGTATAGCAACTCAAGAGCATCTCTCCACTCTTCACATCTGCAGCACCTCTCTGCAACCGCTGCCTCACTCCACTGTACTCCAATCCCACTGATGCCGTAGCGCTCACATAGCGGACCAACCTCTTGGCCGCTTCCAGCTGCTCATGACTAGGGCGTGAGACCACACTAGCCAATCGTGATGTAGCAAATGCAATGTCAGGCCGTGTATGATTTGCAGCATAATTCAGCGACCCAACCATCGAATGAAACAGCTTCCTGTCACTATCACCCACTACCTCCTCATCAGCACATGGCTCCACAGTAAACCCTGAAGGTAGTGGTGTTGCTGGCTTTCCCCCATCTTGCAGCCCATACTTCTCAGCCAGCCCCTCACAGTACTTCCTCTGGTGCAACCTCAGCACACCCTTTTCCACATCTCTCTCCACGTGCATCCCCAAGTAGTACTTCACCTCACCCATCTTGGAGCACTTGAACTGCATCTCCAGCATCTGCTCTGCGCTGTCCAGCAAAGCAGTTGATGCAGAAAAGAGAAGGATATCATCCACATACACCAAGAGCATGAGGATTTCATCCTTCTCCTGCAGCAGGAACAGGCTGGGGTCACACTCACTCTTCTTGAAACCCCCAGCCAACAGCGCCTCCTCCAACTTGTGATACCATGCACGAGGCGCCTGCTTAAGGCCATAGATGGCCTTCTTCAGCCTGCAGACCCTGCCGCTCCCGTCATCCAGCCCCTCTGGCTGCTTCATGTACACCTCCTCCATAATGATCCCATTCAGAAAGGCAGTCACAATATCCATCTGCCGAATCTTCCATCCCAGGAGTGCAGCTATCGCCAACAGCACCCTCAGTGTTGTTCCTTTCCCCACAGGAGCAAACACCTCATCATAGTCCTTCCCCTTTGTCTGCTGAAACCCCCGTGCCACAAGCCTAGACTTGTAGCGGGTCAGCTCCCCTTCAGGTCCATACTTGTGCCTGTAGATCATCTTGGAAGTGATTGCCTTCTTTCCAGGAGGCAAGTCACACAGGTCCCATGTCTCGTTCTCAATTAGGGACCCGAACTCCTCATCCTCACTCGCCTTCCACTTCTCCCCATTTGGTCCATTCAAGGCCTCTTCTCGAGTCTTGGGCTCAGGGATTGGTGCCCAGTAGCAGTGAGCGATCTCATCTTCCTCAATCTGCTCAACCACACTCCCAGCCTGCACCACATTCGGCTTGCCTCTTCCCCCATAGGTCAGCCTCACTGGAGGGCGCACATCCCTCCTAGGACGCTCAGGCGGGTGTGGAACTCGAGGTGGAGACTCATGCTGCTGCTGCTGCTGCTGCTCTACTTCAGCTGCTCCCCCTTCCTCAGTCACCCCAGACATCTCCTCCTCTGACACTGCAACCTCCACCTGTCTTGAAGGCTGCTGCACCTCATCTGCCTCCACAATGAGCGGTGTAGATGGAAGCTTCTGTTGCTGCTGCTTCCATTCCTTGTAGTACAGGGACTCAAGAAACTTCACATCCCTTGACACTGTCAACTTCTGGGTGGTCAAGTCCCATAGCAGCCACCCTTGTGATCCTTTGCAATCCCCAAGTGCACACCCCATCTTCCAGAAGCCTCCAACTTCCCCCTTTTCTCCTTAGGCACATGAAACACCACCATGCACCCAAATGCCCTCAGCATGTTCACAGCTGGAGCACTCCCATACCACTTGACGTATGGGATCCACTCCTTATCTCCAACTGTAGCCAGCACCCTGTTCTTCACAAGGGCGACCTGCCTCAGTGCAGACACCCAAAACGGATCAGGCAGCCCTGCACGCCCAAGGAGAGTGCGTGCCCCCTCCTGCAGGGTCCTGTTGAACCTCTCAGCCACGCCATTCTGCTGTGGGTTGTAGGGCACTGTCAGTTGATGCTGGATCCCCTTCCTCTTCAACTCCCCCTCAAAATCAGCTCCAATGAACTCCCCACCATTGTCACTACGGATCACCTTCACCTTGTGTCCGCATTCCCTCTGAGCTCTCGGCATCCACTCCTTAAGGACAGCCGCTGCCACCTCCCCCTTGCTCTTCAAAGGGTAAACCCACACTGCCCGAGTGTGGTCATCCACAATTGTCAAGAAATAGCGGCTGCCTGAGAGGGAAGGGGCTCTTGTGGGCCCCACCACATCCATGTGCACAAGTGCAAGTGGGGTCTTGGCTGGTCCTGTAGTGCCTGTTGAAGGGGAACTTGGAGAACTTGGTCTCCAAGCATGTAGGGCAGCTCCCAATCTCCTTCACTCCCCTTTCACCTCCAAGCCCTTCAGGCTCCCATTCTTCACCAACTTCTGCAGCATAGGGAAGTTCACATGACACAGCCTCTCATGCCATGTCTCCCAATCGGCCTCTCCACTCCTTGATGAAGCCTTAGCCCATGCCGCACTCGCATCCACACCAGCAAGCACCTCACCATGTGTCTGCTGCTGCTGCACTTTCTTGACTGCTTCCAGGACCCCATCAGTTGGTGCAGTTGCATCTCCTCCTGCTGTTGCCTTTGCCACTGCTGCCGTTGCTGCTGTTGGAGTCTTCCCATTCCAAGGGATGATGGGCAGCTGCCACAGGTCCTTGATGCAGCTGGTCTCCTCTTCCAGACTCCACAGCACCTTCTTCCCAAGCTTAGCACGGCAGCTGGTTGGTCCAAAGGTCACTTCGGCCTTACTCTTCTGCAGCCGCCGCACAGAGAGAAGGTTAGCAGACAAGCCTTTAACCAGCAGAACATTCCCAAGCCCCACAAGCTCCCCATTAGCTCCCTTAACCTTGGCATTCCCAACACCAATCACGGGGAGCAAAGCACCTGACGCTGCTGCCACATACTTAATCTTCCCAGGGGGTTTTACCTCATCAAGCAAATCTGCCCGTGGGGTCATGTGACTGGTGCAACCCGAATCAATCACCCAGTGCGTGAGAGGGTGCATCACAACCTTTCCCACAGATCCCACATCACCCTCATGCCCATGCACATCCTCAACCATAAGAAACAAACCAGGATAGGCATTACCTTGTGCACCTTCACCTTGTGCACCTGAGCCTTGCACAGCGCCACCTTGTGCGCGTTCACCACTGGGTGGCTTCATGCCTGGAGGTGCCCATCCCTCCGGCCTGCTGAAGCACTTGAACCAAGGATGCCCTATCTTCTTGCAGTACCAGCACGTGCCCTCCATTCTGGTACTCCCCCTGCCACTAGAGCTCCCATGCCCCTCATTATAGTCACCTCGGCCTCTACCTCTGCCAAAGCTCCTCCCACGGCCTCGGCCTTTCCAACCCCCTCTTCCTCTGCTGCGCCCTGCAGCTCCATACCCCTCAGCAGTCTTAGTGGCAGCACCGCCTCCCACATGGCGTCTGCGGAAGTCCTCCTGCAGAATCTGCTGCCTTAGCCACTCAGGTGTCCATTGATCTTGCTGAGAGTTGAGGGTGGGGATGAGGTTGTCCCAAGAGTTGTCCAACACCGAGATGATCTTGGTGCACTGCTGCAGCTGAGATACACTGCTGCCCGCTGCTGCCATCCTTGCATAGGTGTCCTTGATCTTGTCAAGGACCGGCTTCACATCGTCCCCTGGTCGCATGGAGATGGCAGCAAGTTCCTTCTCGAGCACGATCACCATCGGGAGAGTGTTGGGCTGAACCACATCACGTAGTAGTTTCCACGCCCTTGGACCCGAATCATCCGCTTCCACAAGATCCTTGATGTGCTCGAACATCTCCTTGTTGACCGATTGAAGAATGAGGTCGAAAAGCACCGCGCTTTTCTCAATCCACCGTTCACGTGCTTCGCCTTCTTCCGGCATCTTCTCTTCCCCAACAGCAATCTTCAGGAGCTTGTAGCGTTTGAAGGCACTCCTCATCCGTCCGCTCCATTCCTCATAGTTGGAGCCATCCAAAGCTTCAACTTTTGATGGCGGCGGCTCACTTGTCTTCTCAGCTACAGCTCCTCTTCCATTAGCATCTCCTCCTCTCTCATTCATCTTCTCCTTGAGAAATGACGAATTTCAGCTCCCCTTTGCTGTCCACACTCAGCTCCCTCGATATTTTCACAAGTGTCGGCGTCCACGAAATTTCGGCAGAGTTTCCCCTTAGCGGAAGACACATCCAACCTTTAGAACACCACTTAGGCACACCCACAGGCCATGGTGGGTCTAGAAGGGTCTTCACACTTCTGTAGACTCCTCTCAATGTCCTTAATACGCTCTGATATCGGCTCTGATACCACTTGTTAGGATTAAGGACAGGAGTCTAGGTGAACTTAGGAGCTAGAATTACTCAAAATATAAATCCGAAATTCTGGACAGAAAAGTCGTCTTCACAAGAAACGACGTCGACAAAACACTAGCCGTTGGAATGTCGCGAAACTTGGATATGTTGTAGCTCTTGATCTCAGCTACCGTTCCCAATTTGAATCACGTTGATTGATGAAGTATTCGCGACGCTATGGCTTTCGACGCACTAGGGGGTAAGCTGTAGGAGGAGAACTTAACTCAATCTCAAGAGTTCAATCAAAGTTCAAGAATCTCACAAGGAATTAGAAGGAGCAAGAGAAAGGTTGGGATAGGAAGAGAGGGATGAGAGGGAAGGTCCCAAGAGAGTCCCCAACCAAGGAAACCCCATAAGCACAAAGATTCCCTCCCTATAGGAACCCCAACTTTGACATTTGTCCCTTCCCAACCAATCCATCCAAGTTGGCCACCCTTGCCAACCTAGCTTGGTTGTTCCCAACCAATTTGCAGCTGTTACAGTGAGTGACAAATTTCCCAAACCCCCAAAGGTCCCAACTCCATATAGAGTCACCCCACAACTTCACTTTGTAACCGCCGCAATTGTAACGCAAGCTCATGAACTTTGAATCTTCATAGCTTTCGCGTTCTTGCTCCGATTGAAGGGATTCTCGTTGCGTCGGAAAGATCTTCTCAAGATCTATCATCACAAAACCTGCTCAAACAAAATAACACAAAACACATTCCCAAACTCCAGAACACATCACACACAAATTCTTGCACACGTTCAAACCACACATGCAAGTTGAAAAAATATGGGATGGGAGGCAGACAGAATGTGATAGCATATGATGACATCACACAACAAAAACAACCCACCCTTTGGATTTTCGACTTGAGAATGCGGTGCAGGCTCTAGATGCATGCACTAACCAGCCATGCAAAAAACAAGGGCTTAGGGCATGCTGAGTAGCTGGAAAAATAAAAGAAGAGCATGTGCTTTCATGGGGAAACGCTCAAACATTCATACTTGGGGCAAATGTTGAAATGCCATAGCTCCCCACCCCTTTGGATTTTCGACTTGAGAATTACGGTGCAGGCTCTAGATCGCATGCACTAACTAGCCATGCAAAAAACAAGGGCTTAGGGCATGCAGAGTAGCTGGGAAAAATAAAAGAAGAGCATGTGCTTTCATGGGGAAACGCTCAAACATTCATACTTGGGGCAAATGTTGAAATGCTATAGCTCCCCACCCCTTTGGATTTTCGACTTGAGAATTGCGGTGCAGGCTCTAGATCGCATGCACTAACCAGCCATGCAAAAAACAAGGGCTTAGGGCATGCTGAGTAGCTGGGAAAAATAAAAGAAGAGCATGTGCTTTCATGGGGAAACGCTCAAACATTCATACTTGGGGCAAATGTTGAAATGCTATAGCTCCCCACCCCTTTGGATTTTCGACTTGAGAATTGCGGTGCAGGCTCTAGATGGCATGCACTAACCAGCCATGCAAAAAACAAGGGCTTAGGGCATGCTGAGTAGCTGGGAAAAATAAAAGAAGAGCATGTGCTTTCATGGGGAAACGCTCAAACATTCATACTTGGGGCAAATGTTGAAATGCTATAGCTCCCCACCCCTTTGGATTTTCGACTTGAGAATTGCGGTGCAGGCTCTAGATCGCATGCACTAACCAGCCATGCAAAAAACAAGGGCTTAGGGCATGCTGAGTAGCTGGGAAAAATAAAAGAAGAGCATGTGCTTTCATGGGGAAACGCTCAAACATTCATACTTGGGGCAAATGTTGAAATGCTATAGCTCCCCACCCCTTTGGATTTTCGACTTGAGAATTGCGGTGCAGGCTCTAGATGCATGCACTAACAGCCATGCAAAAAACAAGGGCTTAGGGCATGCTGAGTAGCTGGGAAAAATAAAAGAAGAGCATGTGCTTTCATGGGGAAACGCTCAAACATTCATACTTGGGGCAAATGTTGAAATGCTATAGCTCCCCACCCCTTTGGATTTTCGACTTGAGAATTGCGGTGCAGGCTCTAGATCGCATGCACTAACCAGCCATGCAAAAAACAAGGGCTTAGGGCATGCTGAGTAGCTGGGAAAAATAAAAGAAGAGCATGTGCTTTCATGGGGAAACGCTCAAACATTCATACTTGGGGCAAATGTTGAAATGCTATAGCTCCCCACCCCTTTGGATTTTCGACTTGAGAATTGCGGTGCAGGCTCTAGATCGCATGCACTAACCAGCCATGCAAAAAACAAGGGCTTAGGGCATGCTGAGTAGCTGGGAAAAATAAAGAAGAGCATGTGCTTTCATGGGGAAACGCTCAAACATTCATACTTGGGGCAAATGTTGAAATGCTATAGCTCCCCACCCCTTTGGATTTTCGACTTGAGAATTGCGGTGCAGGCTCTAGATCGCATGCACTAACCAGCCATGCAAAAAACAAGGGCTTAGGGCATGCTGAGTAGCTGGGAAAAATAAAAGAAGAGCATGTGCTTTCATGGGGAAACGCTCAAACATTCATACTTGGGGCAAATGTTGAAATGCTATAGCTCCCCACCCCTTTGGATTTTCGACTTGAGAATTGCGGTGCAGGCTCTAGATGGCATGCACTAACCAGCCATGCAAAAAACAAGGGCTTAGGGCATGCTGAGTAGCTGGGAAAAATAAAAGAAGAGCATGTGCTTTCATGGGGAAACGCTCAAACATTCATACTTGGGGCAAATGTTGAAATGCTATAGCTCCCCACCCCTTTGGATTTTCGACTTGAGAATTGCGGTGCAGGCTCTAGATGGCATGCACTAACCAGCCATGCAAAAAAAAAGGGCTTAGGGCATGCTGAGTAGCTGGGAAAAATAAAAGAAGAGCATGTGCTTTCATGGGAAACGCTCAAACATTCATACTTGGGGCAAATGTTGAAATGCTATAGCTCCCCACCCCTTTGGATTTTCGACTTGAGAATTGCGGTGCAGGCTCTAGATGGCATGCACTAACCAGCCATGCAAAAAACAAGGGCTTAGGGCATGCTGAGTAGCTGGGAAAAATAAAAGAAGAGCATGTGCTTTCATGGGGAAACGCTCAAACATTCATACTTGGGGCAAATGTTGAAATGCTATAGCTCCCCACCCCTTTGGATTTTCGACTTGAGAATTGCGGTGCAGGCTCTAGATGGCATGCACTAACCAGCCATGCAAAAAAAAAGGGCTTAGGGCATGCTGAGTAGCTGGGAAAAATAAAAGAAGAGCATGTGCTTTCATCGGGAAACGCTCAAACATTCATACTTGGGGCAAATGTTGAAATGCTATAGCTCCCCACCCCTTTGGATTTTCGACTTGAGAATTGCGGTGCAGGCTCTAGATGGCATGCACTAACCAGCCATGCAAAAAACAAGGGCTTAGGGCATGCTGAGTAGCTGGGAAAAATAAAAGAAGAGCATGTGCTTTCATGGGGAAACGCTCAAACATTCATACTTGGGGCAAATGTTGAAATGCTATAGCTCCCCACCCCTTTGGATTTTCGACTTGAGAATTGCGGTGCAGGCTCTAGATGGCATGAACTAACCAGCCATGCAAAAAACAAGGGCTTAGGGCATGCTGAGTAGCTGGGAAAAATAAAAGAAGAGCATGTGCTTTCATGGGGAAACGCTCAAATACTCATACTTGGGGCAAATGTTGAAATGCTATAGCTCCCCACCCCTTTGGATTTTCGACTTGAGAATTGCGGTGCAGGCTCTAGATGGCATGCACTAACCAGCCATGCAAAAAACAAGGGCTTAGGGCATGCTGAGTAGCTGGGAAAAATAAAAGAAGAGCATGTGCTTTCATGGGGAAACGCTCAAACATTCATACTTGGGGCAAATGTTGAAATGCTATAGCTCCCCACCCCTTTGGATTTTCGACTTGAGAATTGCGGTGCAGGCTCTAGATGGCATGCACTAACCAGCCATGCAAAAAACAAGGGCTTAGGGCATGCTGAGTAGCTGGGAAAAATAAAAGAAGAGCATGTGCTTTCATGGGGAAACGCTCAAACATTCATACTTGGGGCAAATGTTGAAATGCTATAGCTCCCCACCCTTTTGGATTTTCGACTTGAGAATTGCGGTGCAGGCTCTAGATCGCATGCACTAACCAGCCATGAAAAAAACAAGGGCTTAGGGCATGCTGAGTAGCT